AAAGTGAGCCAGGGAGGGGTGAGACAGTGCTAACTTGACACTGCAAGTTATTTCCTGCTTGTTTTCCCAAGAACCGTGCGTTTTCATAGAACCACTCCCTCACCTGAAGCTCTTGCCTCTTTCCTTCCAATGTCTGAGAATTTCACAACCTTGGTCCACATTAGAAACAGTTCCAGAGTGGCGTGCTGCACTACACCACAGTCTGTGAAAAAGCACCACTATTTTATGGGCTAATCTGTTACTTGACTCTGAGAGCTGGTCCAAACCCCAGGTGAGACGAGCTACCAGGCTACCCCAGTGCTGGGCAGACCGCTTAAGACGCCCCCCCCCCCCCCCCCCCGCCCCCGTTATTATTGCTGTTTGAGACTGAGGCAAGGTCTCATGTACATGCACACCAGGCTGGCCTCAAGTTCACTATATAGCAGAGGATGTCCTTAACTCTTGGTCCTCCCGCCCCCATCTCTCAAGTGCTGGAATTACAGGTGTGTGCTACTATGCCCTACTTCCTAACCCATCTCTACCGGCTCCATCCTGTCACCCTGTAGTAATGAAGGTTCATAGTTACTAATTTTCATTAAAGCGTCTAGTTCCACAGATGTACTCAGCTACCAAATTGGAAAAATGTCTAATCATTTTACATAGGTTAGACTGTTGGTGACTCTCTAATTTATATATGTATACATGTGTGATTTTAATGATTTGTATATATATTAATATATAATTTAATATATATGGTTTTACTTTAGAACATGTTTAATGAAGCCCAGGCTAGCCTCAAAGTTCTGGTTTTTCAGAGTCCACCTCTCAAATGCTGGGATTACAGATATGTGCCACCACATTCTGCTTGATAGTTACATATTCTAAAAGGCAAGACATGTGAATTATTACACCAAGACTTAAGGCTGAAACAGTCAGAGAGGACTGCTTTATTGGTTTCTATTTTTGAGATGAGGTTCAGTGTGTATTACTATCTAGCCTGGATTCCACCATGTACACCAAACGACCCTCTCGGCCTCCCAAGTGCTGGGATTAAAGGTGTGTACCACCACTCCTGGCTGAGGATTGAATTTTTTATTTAAAAAATTATTTTATGTATGAATGTTTTGCATGTGGGTGTATCTGTGCACCACATGCCTGCCTGGTGACCACAGGGTGACAGTAGAGGGTGTCAGATCCCTTGGAGCGAGAGTTACAGGCAGTTGTGAGCTGCCTGATGTGGGGGGTAGAACTGAAGTGAACTCAGGTCTTCTGGAAGAGCAGGAAGTACTTTAAGTGTCAAGTTATCTCTCCAATACTGCTGCCCTCCACCCCAGGAGGGTTGCTGGGTTTTTTTCTTTCCCCTGAGACAGGGTCTCACTATGTAGCCCGGGTTGGCCTTGAACTCAGAGACCCACCTGCTACTGTCTCCTAAGTGTTGGGATTAAAGGTGTGTTTGAGCATGCCCAGCTCAGGAGTGCATTCTTAAAACCATCAATTTACTTTCTGCATCTGGCCTTAAGCCTCTTTGAGTGAGAGGCATGGCACCCAAACAGTCACCCCATTTCTCAGAGAGGCTGTCCAGGCTACTCTGGTTCTTCATAGGCCCTCACAGCACAGCTGTTCCTCTTCTGAAGCGCTGACTACATGGGCACTTTTGTGTTTGCACCCACCAGATGACACCTGCTTTGTCCCCCTCACTGTTCCCTCCTGGGTACCTTACATATGGCTGACACTTGGGGATCTCTGATGATAGGCGAGGAGCCAGTGTTCCCACTCTAGTCTACGGCTCATTTCTACTACAGTGGCTCTTGGAAATAGAAGTGAAGACTCAGTAGTTGGGCCCTTCAAAGTTGAATGAATGAAAATGCTGAGTTTCCTTTCCAAAGTCTGAAGCACCAGCCCAAACCAAGATCAAGTAACAGTTTTTCAACAAGGGTGCTAAGACAAATCAACAGAGCAGGGAGGAGACTTCATTAGATGGTGTTGGGACAACCATAAGTCGTACAAAAAAAAAAAAAAAGAAAGAAAGAAAGGAAGGAAGGAAGGAAGGAAGGAAGGAAGGAAGAAAGAAAGAAAAGACGGGCCCTATCCTTAGATGCAAAAACTCATTCAGCATGGACCACAGCTCAGTCAGTACAGCATGAGACTCTGGATCTCAGAGTTGTGGGTTCATGTCCCACATTGGGTGCCATTTGTAGATGGAAACTTCTGTTCCACCTGGTCCCACAGCCATTTAGCCCCAAATAAACAGAGAGACTTATATTAATTATAACCTTTTGGCCAATGGCTTAGGCTTCTTACTGGCTAGCTTTCTCTTAATTATTAGCCCATAACTATTAATCTATGTATTTCTACATGGCCTTATCTTACCAGAGAATGCCTGGCATCCTATCTTTCCAGTAGCTACATGGTGTCTCTCTCACAGCCCCTCTCTGCATTCTCTCCCCAGAATTCTTGTCTGGTAGCCCCGGCTATACTTCCTGCTGGCTACTGGCCAATACTGATTTATTCATCAACCAATTAGAGAAACATATTAACAGCATACAGAAGGACAGCCCCCATCAACAATAGACACAGGAGTCAACATCTGTGGACCTAGGTTATTTGGCCTTTTAGATATAACCACAAAAGCACAAACAACAAAAATAAACAAGTGGTTTTTGTCAAAATACAGACTTGTTTGCTTCAATAGACACTACCAAAACCTTTTGTCAGTACTCAGGAGGCTTAAGGTGAAGGGATCAAAAGTTCAAGGCTATCCTCCACTACAGAGTTCAAGGTCAGCCTGGGCCCCATGAGAACTTGTTTCAAAAAGTGGGGGTGGGTAAAGGAGTTGAAAAGATGGCTTAGCAGTTAACGGCCCTTGCTTCTCTTATAGAGGACTGGAGTCTGGGTCCCAGCACCATGTCAGGTGGCTTACAACCACCTCTAACTCCAGTTCCAGAGGATCTGACACCCTCTGTTGGCCTCCACAGGTACCTGTACTAATGTACACCCCCACACATATCATTAAAAATAAACTTTTTAGGGCTGGAGAGATGGCTCAGAAGTTAAGAGCACTGACTGCTCTTCCAGAGGTCCTGAGTTCAATCCCAGCAACCACATGGTGGCTCACAATCATCCGTAATGAGATCTGGTGCCCTCTTCTGGTGTGCAGATATATATGGAAGCAGAATGTTGTATACATAATAAATAAATAAAATCTTAAAAAAAATAAACTTTTTAAAAAAGGCAACAGAATGAGAGACATAATTTTAAGTCATGTATTTCTCTGATAAGAAACATACCCCAAATACCAAGAGGACTCTTACAAGTCATTAAGAGGCTAAATAATTCAACTGAAAAGAGGGTAAAGGGTGTGAATAGACACTTTTCTAAATAAGATACTCAGAGAATTATGAACCACAGAAGACACTTGGCATCATCAGCTCTCTAAGGCATGCTGTCACAAGTACAATGAGGCAGCGCTCTATGGGCATGTGGCCGGCAACAATGAAAATGGCAGATTCCCATGAATGGATAAACAAAGTGTGTCACAGCCATAAAATAAAACGTTGCTAAGTCATAAAAAGGAAGTGTGGATGCATGCTACAATCTGGATGAACCTCTGAACATGATGCTGAGCCACAGAAGTGAGTCAGAGACTACACAAGATTCATCATCAATCTATACACAAAGAAAGTACATCTGTGGTAGCCTAGGGCTGGAGGCAGGAGACAACTGGGGAGGAGGGAACAGGCTTTCTTCTTGGGGGGATGAGAATGTTCTAGAATTTGGGCCTGGATATACAACCTTCTGATTACATCAAAAAACTCTGACTTGCACAATTTGAATGAATGAATTAATATGGCTTATGTCACAGCTTTAGCTGTTAACTTGACATAAACCTAGAGAAACCTTGAAGAGGGAACCTCTGAGTAACTGCCTTCATCAGATTAGCCTATGTGCATGTCAGTGAAGAGTTTTCTTGGTTCCTGATTGATGTGGGAGGGCTCAGCTCACTGGGGGTCTGTGAGCTAACTGACCATGAGCCCCCAGCCAGCCAGCAAGCAGCATTCCTCCACTGGCTTCCCTTGATGATGGACTGTCACCCGTGCTTATTGTAGCAACACAAAGCAAATATTTTCTTAATATGGGATAAAGAAACTGTTGGATGTGATATTGAAAACTTCATATATTTGTCAGTAACAAATCCAACACTTTCTCAAACCATAAAGGATGGTAAAGATTTCTGTGTTTGTAGGGTGGTGGTGGCGCATGCCTTTAATTTCAGCACTCGGGAGACAGAGGCAGGAGGATCTCTGTGAGTTTAAGTCCAGCCTGGTCTACAGAGTGAGTTTCAGGACAGGCTCCAAAGTTATACAGAGAAACCCTGCCTCAAAAGTAAATAAATAAATAAAATAAAAAATTTCTGTCTCCCAAGACACTAAATCCTGGCTCATTGGTGTCTCATGTGCCTGAATAACTACAGAGGGCCCAAGTGCTCCTGGTAAATCCTGACCTAGGCTTTTTGCAATGCGGCATTTCAATTCTATAATCTATGAGCTTTCCTTCCTTCAACAAATCATACTTGATGCTCAGAGAGCAGCACCAAGTTACACTTTGTCTTTGCTGTTGTGAGCTTCACTCCTGAGTGCTGCCTGAAGCTCACAGACGGTAAGCAGACGATCAGACAGCCAGACCCTAAATGTCAGAGGCTGTTGTCTCCCTGTCTTCTGGGAAAACTCTTTAGCTCCAGGACCAGGGTTAACTCCCTCATCCCTTCTCCTCAGGACTAAGAACCGCTGACAGGAAGAGCTAAAGAAGCTCCGTAGAGTATGCACTCTGTTTCTCCATTCTGGGCTTCACAGGGGGCACCCACTTTATGTAAGGCAGGGCTTGATTGTCCTGGATTATCAGGACACGTGACCACACAGGAGCAGTTGGTGAAGAAAGGCTAAGACTTTTCCTAGGTGAAAACTGGTATCTATGAAAATAGGTATCAATAGATACATCCTGAAATAAATGAACAACTGGATTAGAAAACAAACTTAAGCCATCTTTATTTTTAAAGTGCTTGAGATGAAAAAAAAAAAAAAGGCAACAGCAGTGTGAAGACAGCAGACACCTGACTGTGGGGATGACTGACTGAGGGGCCTTGGGCTGTGCACAGCAAGATGGATGGAAGGTCAACATTCGCTGGCTTCGGCAAGTCGGGAGCCAGACCATAGCCAAGATGTCTAATTACTGCTTACAGGCTCCTTATGAAAGTGTTTACCTGCAGGAGAAGATGCAATGTTACACTGCACGATTCCAACACTCCCCTCAGTGAATGTGTTTCCAGTCCCATGAGCGCTTATGAGGTGAGGAAACGAGAGCTGTCCAGGGTCAGACAGCACCAAGTGGCAGCTGGGCACAGAACCCATCCATGTCTTCTGTTCCTTACTGTAGAACACCTTAGAGGGGAAGTCGGCTGGCCAGCAGACACTAAGAGTCAACTGACTGATACTAACCCAGGACACTCGGAGCTGGGGGTTCTATTGTAACTTGCGTAACATCCCAGGGTTTTGGAGTGTGAGATGCAATTTGAGGTACACATCAAAGGACAGACACAGGGACCAGGCAGATGAAAGCCCAGCACTGAACCCCCACAAGCCCAGGGTCTGCCCACCTGTCTCATGAGCTCTTCCTGTTTGGCGGCATTTTCAGAGAAATCGTCACTGACATTCAGCACCAGCACTGGCACATGTTGCAGAGCTTCGAAGTGGAGCCTGGAGCAGCAAGACAGAAACACCAGGGCCACGTCATCCACCTACCACACCAACCAGTCAGAGCCTGACGACTCTGCCTGTAGACAGCATTTTTAAAAGAACTCAATAAAACTGCCTGCAAAGTGGAAGGCCAAGCCTCTCTCTAGTACTGAAACTGCTATAGTCAGCACTGCAAACATTTAAAGTGAACATACCAAGCCTGAATGAGGGCAGGCAGAAACTAAAAATGTCAATTACAATGAACATTTAAAAAAAAAAAATTCATCCCTCTATCCTGAGCCAATTATGACAAGCATTCATCACAGGAAGAGGAAGGAAGGAAAAGAGGGAGGGAGAGAATCTACCAGATGCCCCTTGGGATGTATGGGTTGTATTTGACATAACATCTCCCAGCTGACAGGTGTTGGGCACTTCCCTCTGTGTCCCTGCAGTTCTGGGCCGTGTGTTCAGCTTGTGCTTAGCGTGGTGATGGAGGCCTCTGCCTGCCTATAACAGACTCACTTGGTAGTCTTGTTAATAAACCAGTCCTCATGTTGACCATGCAGCTGTTCAAGATAGGCCAGCTCAATGCCTTTCTCTTCTGCTCGGGATCTCTGGTACAGTCTTTCCAAACAAACCTAAAAAACAATCCCCCTGCTGTTACAGTGCAGTCTTACAGGGTCAAGCAACCCACAAAATATCTGTATGTCTTCTCTGGGCACCACAAGGCATGACTACTTCTGCTGCCTTGTTCTCTTACTCAGAGCACTGGTACCATTTTGTCCACCTGCCTTTGACTGCTCTTCCTTGGATTAACAGCAAGCACCATTCACCCAGTCAGCCACACTGGGAACTTTCTTTCTCCTCCTCTCAACCATGTCAAGAACCAGGAGGTTCTAATCTCTCTAGCTGGCTCTGTCCTCTCATCTGGACATTCCAAGAGCCTCCTGCCTCTCTGTCTCCTGGAGGTGAAGAAGTGCAGAGAGAGCGAGCACAGGCCTTACAGTCATGTGCAAGCCCTGCCGTCTCGGTGAGCTGCCTGTTCTCCACCCTCCCACCCACCCACGGGTAGCTGTGAGGCTGCTCTTAGGTAAGGCACATTACGACTCTGGCAAAAAGCCGGGCATTGGTGGCGCACGCCTTTAATCCTAGGACTCTGGAGGCAGAGGCAGGTAGATCTCTGTGAGTTTGAGGCCAGCCTGGTCCTACAGAGTGAGTTCCAGGACAAGCTCCAAAGCTACACAGAGAAACCCTGTCTTGAAACGCTTGCCCCCTGCCCCCCCCCAAAAAAAAAAAGATTCTGGCAAAAGTCATTTCTCCTCCTTCCAGCTTGTCCCTCACCCTAGCCTTCAATGGTACCTGTGTCCCTGCTTAAAATACGTTGCTCCATAGGCTCTTTGACAGCTACAGATATAACCACAGGCTTCAAGAAGTTGTAAATTTGCCATCCTCCTGTTTCAGCTTTCCAGGTCCTGGGATTATATGCACGCACCATCGTGCCTGGCTTGTGAGTGCCGTTCTACCTAGTAAGCAACTGAAGCATCTCTTTCATACTAGACCAAGCACCCACTTTGCAGTGGACTGAAACACCTGCATAGGGCAAAGGTAACACAACATGAAATGAAACTGGAGTCCTGACACTAACTCCCCTCTCCCTTCCCCTTTTGCAGAACTCTAGTCTGCCTCCACCTGCACGTCCGAGGTGCTCTGCTTCTGAGAACTGTGTCTCCTTCACCCTCATGTAAGGCCACCTCAACTTCCTAAGCTCCCTTGCTCACTGCTTCGGCCAGATTAGGCCTCCTTCCTACAGGACAGGCCAAGCTCCTTCACACCTCAAAACCTCTGCTCCAAATGTTTCTTTTGCCTGAATTGCCCTTGTTCCTCTTTCTGCCTGGCCAAACATTTCAGTGTTCAATGCCAACTATCCTGAGAGTGGGTTAATCTACTCTCACTACTCTCATTTTTTCTGAGGTAGTTCCAGTCTATCCCAGGCTGACCTGGAACTCTGTTGTCCATCTTTTTCAATATACTCCTGATTCAGCTGCTCAGCTCTCATCACTCACAACCATGATTATGCTTTCATCAGGAGTTTATGCTCACTCCTCTCTCCCCTCCAGCCTTTGAAATGTATAGAAGGCATGTGGTCTTCCTATTACAGGCTTCCCAATTGCCTCTGCAGAGGTTAACCATGCTGCATTCCCACCCAGCTTCAGCTTAGTTACTTTATTTTCTCCATGAGAGAAAAATATTGTCTGAATTTGAGTAAATGAATATATATATATATATATATATATGTAAATGTACATATATATTATATATAAAACCATGTTTTCAAATACATGCAAGGACAGAACAATTCTTGCAAAACCTATTTATAACTTTTCACGAACTGACTGCCGACAACCATTGATGCTAGCCTCCATCTATTAAAATCAGTTAGTATTTCCCTCTTTATTATTAATTTGTTAAAAAGAACAAACTTTTCTTCCCTCTAAAGTCTAGGTTATAATGAATTATTTTATTAGGGTTTTATTGTTGTTTTGTATTTTTTTTTTTTTTTCAAAGACAGGGTTTCTCTGTAGCTTTGGAGCCTGTCCTGGAACTCACTCTGTAGACCAGGCTGGCCTCAAACTCACAGAGACTTTTTTTTTTGAGACAGGATTTCTTGGTATAACAGCCCTGGCTAATAATAAATTATTTTATTTATCATCATCATCATCATCATCATCATCATCATCATCATCATTTTGAGTTTTCGAGACAGGGTTTCTCTGTGTATCCCTGGCTGTCTTCGAACTTGCTCTTTAGACCAAGTTGGCCTCAAACTCAGAAATCCGCCCACCTCTGCGTCCTGAGTGCTGGGAGTAAAGAAAGGTGTATGCCACCACATCCAGCTAATAAATTATTTTAAAAAGATCCCACAGAACAGTTTTATCCTGGCCCCACTTCATTTCCGTCCCCACAGGGAACACACACCGGAATGTGAAGGGGAAAGACGGGGTGGGACTCTGTGGCCAAGCTTCCCCTCACCTGCTGGGCTGTGACCGCTACAGGGTCTGCTCACTGCGCCACTCGAGTCTCAGGCTCAGGCGGTGCCCGTGCCCACACAGACCCTGAGCACTGTGCCCATGGTCCACTGTCCCAGACAGGGACGGGAACGCTGAGGCACATAGCCAGCTGCACTCTTTCCTTGACTCCAACGGGTAGAGGACACAGGTCCAGGTGGACAGGGGCCTGGAGCTTGTCTCACAGACTCTGAGACTAGTATTTGCCAGGAGTCTGTGTGGAGTTGTGCTGGGCACTGGCTTGAACCCACATTCTATTCCTCCTCTGGCATTCCTGGGTTCCTGTATCTAACACCATCCTAACAACACTGAAATCTCAAACCAATCCCAAATAAATTATCCATCTTTATTCTATGTTAAGTTGTGGCAATACTTCAAGACTCATTATGAGATGAAATACTTGAATTAGTCTCCAAAGGGACAAACCAGTCCCTGGTGACAACCACCATTACTCCACCACCCTCAGTCCACACAGGCCCCTCAAAGGGCATTAAGGAGGTGAGGAGACTGGCTGGCTTTATGGGTCCCTGGCGGCCCCGCTTTACTCTCAGCTCACTGGCTCCTCTGCTCCTCCTAGCACTACTGCCCCGGCCCCGAGAGGACCATGCTGTTTCTCTGTCTCAGAATAGGTTAGGCCAGCACTTCCCCTTCTCCCAGCTTCGGCCTTCAACCCCCTGCTTCTTAGTCCAGCCACCTTATGACTCCAATGGGAAACCATGGGAGGAGGAAACACCTCCTCTAACTCCACCTACATCTCCACCCTGCCCTACCCCCAGCACCTCACTGCTGGAAAGTCCTCCTCTCCCACCCTGTGGGAGAAGGCGCCTCTTTTTCACTCAGTGACTACTTTCCACCTGTAAGACACCTGTCTTCAAAATGAGCCTCTTCTTTTTTTTTTCAAGACAGGGTCTCACTCTGTAGTTCTGACTGTCTTGGAACTAACTCTGTAGACCAGGCTGGCCTGGAACTCACAGAGATCCGCCTGCCTTTGCCTCCCGAGTGCTGGGCTTCAAGGTGTGTGCCACCACTGTGGGGCCTACAGGGTGTCTCTTCTATTCCTCCTTATCAACAAGGACCACTGAGAGCAGTCAGGCACTGTGCCTCGGCTAACCAAATCACTTCACTTCACAGAAGTCTCCTCAGTCCTTAGACCTTATGAATATCTAGTTCAATTTTTTAAAAGATTTATTTATTTATGTGCATAATTTATTTATTTATGTGCATATTTTTTTTTTTCCGAGACAGGTTTTCTCTGTGGCTTTGGAGGCTGTCCTGGAACTAGCTCTTGTAGACTAGGCTGGTCTCGAACTCAAAGAGATCCGCCTGTCTCTGCCTCCTGAGGGCTGGGATTAAAGGCATGCGCCATCAACGCCCAGCTCTAGTTCAATTTTATTTGAACCTCAAACTTCACCCAGAATCTCCTACTCCCTGCTGTGATTTGCATCACAGTCTAAGAACTCCCCATACTATACCTATTGGGGCTGGCAAGATGGCTCAGCAGGCAAAGGCACTGTTGTGGAATATTTAACTATGTAACGATGTGTTTCATTTGTTTATGCTGTGGAATATTACTTCAATTGTGTAAAGGTGTGTAACACTTATGTATGCTGAGCTGGTTTAATTATGTAAGGATGTGTGTTAAATTATGTAAACATGTGTTCCATTTGTTTCACCTTGCCTTCCTACTAAAAAGTTGACTGGCCAGTATATAAGCAGAAGAGGGATAGGAGGGGCTGGTGAGTGAGAATAAATAGGAGAGAACCAGAGAAGAGAGGAGAGAATGAGGGAGGAGAGGGACAGGCCTGGGGCAAGAAGCCAGGCAGCCACCAGCCAGACACTGGGGGAAGCATGAAAGTAAGACACACAGGAGGAAAGCAAGAAAAAAGCCCCGAGGCAAAAGGTAGATAAAGAGAAACAGGTTAATTTAAGTTAAAAGAGCCAGCCAGATAAGCCAGGCTGAGCATTCATAACTAATAAGTCTCTGTGTCAAGATTTGGGAGCTGGCTGGTGGCTCCAAAAGAAAAAGCCTAGTACAAAGCAGGCCTGGTGACTTGAGTTCCATCCCTGAAACCCATGGAAAGGTGGAAGGAAGGAAGTGACAGCACAAAGTTGTCCTCTGATTTCCACACAAGCACTGTGGCTTTTGTGTATCTGTGCATGTAGGCACTCACACTTTGAGCACACATACACAAAGATGAAGAGTTGTTAGAAGAGGAGGAGGAAATGTTAGAAAAAAGAAAACCAGGTGGGGCACACACCTTTAATCCTAGCACCTGGGAGGCAGAAGTAGAGTCAGGTAGAAGTCTTGTCTACTTAGAGAATTCCAGAATAGTCACAGTGGCATAATGAGAACCTGTCTCAAAACAAAAAAAACACTGATCCAATTAAGCACCTCCCTCAAATAAAATAAATAAAAAACTAAAACACAAAACAAAAACCTTAAAAAAAAAAAAAAAAGACAAGACATACAAATCGAGCCCCTGCTGTGCTGAGCAGCCTCTCTCCTGGCTGCCCTTCCTTCTAGTCCTCTCCTTGGGGCCCCTGTAATATGACATGACAGGAACTCTCCCACTTGTTCTCAACTCTGCTCAGTGTTCTCCCAGGCTCCCTCTGTCCATAAGCTCAGCCCCAGGCTGCAGACAGCTGGCTTGCTTTCTGCAACGATGGGCATTCTTGGCATCTGACCATACCTGTTAAGTGTCTCTCAAAAGCTGACAGCAGTATCTCTCAAAAAAAAAAAAATATACAAAGACCCCTTCAGTGGCAAGCTTTCCAGGGTCTAGCCAAGGTTAATACCAGTCAGCAGGAGCCAAGGACCAATGCTGCCTCCAGAGGGCTCCTGTCATGACATCATCCCATGGGCCAAACTGGCTCCAAAGTTCAAATTGCAGAATCAGAGCCAAAGCACACACTTCTGCAGTCCTCCTGCCTGAGGATGAGGGAGGAAACATTCCTTCCTTCCTCATATCCTAGTTAGAAAACAGAAGGGACCACTGAAGCCTCAGATGACCTGACATGGGCAAGAGCTAGAGCAGATGGCTGCAGGTCTGAGTGTCCTATCTGTAAACCTGGAGCTGTAAAAACAATGCCTAGTGTGTTCTAGCTTGTGTCTCTACCAAAAGGACTACTTCTATACACAGGCAACTGCTTGGACATGCTGCTGCAGCAGCAGAAGGCCCTGGGAGATGGGTGCTCGGTGCTAGAGTATTGGTGTATGCCTACACTCTCTTGCTGGCCCATAGACTAACTTCTCTAACCGGGAAACCAGAAGCTTACAGGAGGTCAGTTCTTACGTTTCATGCAGTTCTAACATCTAAGGTTTTAGGTTCAGTTACCTGGGGAGAAGCCTGGAGATAGATGAAGCCATGTATCAAGAGCCGGTTTGCAAACTCCTGCAGGAGAAAAGAATGCCAGTCTTGATAGATGTGCCATTCGACATCACTGAGGGAACCATTTTCAAAAAGATTCTTTGCAAAGATATACCTGGTTGGAAATGTTGAGTGGGAGATTGGGGTGAAGGAAGAATGGGAAGTGGGATGAGAGACAGAAGAGGGAGAAAAGTAGAAATCAGTGAAATTCAGAAAAATCAGTGACGGGCTTGTTCACGTTTACCCAAAGCACTTAGCCATGCTAGCTCCTGTCAGTCCTTAGGAAATCTGGATTGTTCTTTTAAAAAAGTTTATTTTTATTATTTGTGTGTGTCTGTGTATGTTCATGTGGGTTTGTGTACATGCATGTGGGGTTTATTGAGGCCAGAAGAGGGCACTGGATTCTCTGGCTAGACTCAGGGGCAGTGTGAACCATTTGATGTGGGTGCTGGGAATGAAATTTGGTTCCTCTATAAGAGAAGCAAATGCTTGTAACTGCTGAGCCATTTCTCCAGCCCTGGAAACCTGAATTCTCAGTCTCCAGCTCCCCTCCTGCTCAGCACTAATGACAAAATAGCACCTGACACAGGCCCACGCTACAGCTCACAGATGGAGCAACCCACCACAAGGAAACGGACTCTAGAAAGGGAAACTAGCCAAGACACACAACATGTGCATGGAAGCTGGAACCTTTTAGATTTCCTCACTATACAGCGAGACTCCAGACAAAACCCATGTGGACGCAGGGGAAAGCTACCCTTCCACCCTGCACTTCAGAGTGAGGAATTCTCAGTCTCTAGCTGCTGAGCCATCAAGCTT